GCTCACAGTGTTGCTCCTGTGGTCTTCAGTATGTAATTTGACACTCCCCCTCTCTCTCTCCTCCCCCCCTCTCTCTGTCCCCCCTCTCTCTCTCTCTCTCTCTCTCTCTCTCTCCCCCGACCTCTTTCTGCCCCCCCAGTTTTGTACACCTAGAAACGCCACTGCCTAACACATTTAGCTATGGCACTGTCGTATACATTGAATTATTCAATTTTATAATATGTAAACTTAGGCATCCCTCCCAAAAAAAAAAAAAGAATAACTCATATTCGAATACCTGAATAATTAGAGGTTCTATTAGAGGGTAACAGGTTGCAGAGAGGCCTATTCTGGCTGGGGAGTGTTTAGACCGTATTCACAGCGTACCTCCTCACCTCTCACCAATTCCAATTAAGGTTCCAGTGGGGACCTTTCTCCCTGCGTGCCTCTCCACCTCTGTTTCTTACTTCTTACCTACTACTCTTTTCCCTCAACCTATCCTAAGGGAGTGCATGTATGTAGACACGTTAGTTTAGCTGTTATAGGCTTGGACTGTCGGGGGACACCTTACTTCTTCCTTCTGTCTGTTTGTACCTGTGTACTCTCATGTCCCGATTAACCCAGCTTCCCCAAAATGTCTTCTTTGTGTCTATATTTACACCGGGATCCTGAGTCGAGGCTAATCCTGTAGCTGTGGTCGTGTGTCCTGGATCCTCTATCCTGAGTTCTGGATTTGAGTCCTGGACTTCGAGTCGTGGCTGAACCTGTCTCTGCGGTCCTGCCTGACTCTCACCATACTACTTCCCTGATGGCTCCCACAGGATTGTTTACATCCTTGTGGATTCATCTTCTTATTACAGACACATGCATTTCCTAACATTTGGTCTACCTACGCTGTAAAATGTATTATCTCTTCGATTTACACACAGCATCTGTTGCACATCTGTCCGTCCTGGGAGAGGGATCCCTCCTCTGTTGCTCTCCCTGAGGTTTCTCCCATGTTCCCCTTTAAACTGTGGGGTTTCTCTGGAAGTTTTTCCTTGTACGATGTGAGGGTCTAAGGATAGAGGGTGTCACATTGTCAAACTGATATTCTGTACAAACTGTGAAGTCCACTGAGACAAATGTAACATTTGTGATATTGGGCTATATAAATAAGCATTGATTGAATGCCTGAATCTCTCTTTGAGGTACCCGGATTCACCCTTGTTCGAGCAGACAGGGATGTGAACTCGGGGAAAACCAGAGGAGGCGGTATTTGTGTGTATATTAATGATCTGTGGTGCCGATCATACTCAGTAAAATGTAAAACCTGCAATCCCAACATAGAAAATCTCGGCATGACGTTAAGACCCTTTCATCAGACCCTAATCTGCCTAGAGAATTCGGGTGTATTTTACTGCTTGTTGTTTACGTGCCTCCCAGCGGCAGAGCGTCACTGGTGGCCGGCTCCATCGCTGACTGTGTTCACGAGCTGCAACTCAGCCACCCCGATTCACCGGCAATAGTGCTCTGGGACATGAAGCAATGTCGCCTGGAGACTGTGTTACCTGGGTTCCAACAGTATGTTAGGGATCACACCAGAAAAGACAATATCCTGGACACATGCTTTGTAAATGTTAAAGGAGCCTGTTCGAGCCAGTATTTTCATTTTATAAGAAAGGCCACCTAATTGTGACGTCTGTAGTCAATGCACTATAAAAGGACTACATTTCCCACAGCGCCTGTGCTAAAGCCACAGTGATGGGCAACCTGTTGAGACGCCGTCGAGGAACAGTTTTTAACGGTACACGTACACATACATACAAATCGTGCAAGTACCCTTTAAGTTATGAAGTTATATAAGCATTATCAAGAAAGAAAGAATATCTGAGTTGTTTGTTGTTTTATTTGAGTTTTGCCTATTTCTTTTCAATATTGTAAAGGCCTATTTTCTTTGTTGCATGTGCACAAGTTTGTTATTTTATTTTGAGCAAACACATCGCAACATCATCTAAACCATCGGAGGCCAAGCAACACTTCAAACTGTGAGTAATTTAAAGGAAAGAAACGAGTTAGAACTGTCTGTTTAAGGCGTCTAGTGGCTTGATGGAAAGACAAGGAAGGAAGCCACGACATTGTTAAAAACTCTCGTGACGGACGAATCCGTGTGGAATTGTGTGTATTTATGTAATCACCTCTGTTGTACAGCCTGTGCTGAAACAGTTTTATATGCAGGCTTTTATACAGTTTTAAACCGTTTTAATACTGTTTTCATACCGTTTTTAACACTGTTTGAATACAGCTTTTAATACTATATTAATACTGTTTTTATACTGTTTTACCCCTGGCAGAAGCAGCTAGCTCGCATTAGCTCCGGTGTCAGTACCATATGTGTTCGGGGTCCGTCGCTTACCAATGACGTCACGCATTGTGATTGGCTGTACGGTAATCGCACGCCGATTGGTGTAACTAGGGGCGCTGACTAGGGTATACCGGGGGATAACGGGTCACAACCGTAAGCGACCTGTTATCATTCAGGAAACGACAGCGAAGCATCTGGGGTGTTTTCTGGCATTTATTCTGAGAATGAACACAACATTCTCTTTACATCCGCGTTGCATGTCACATCTCAACATAACTGCTCACGTCACTGTCACTAGTATTTATTTATACATACTAGGGCTGTACCCGAACATCCAAATATTCGTTCGTTGGAGTACTATTCAGGTTTCAATTTCGTTATTCGGATATTGGTTTTGTTTTGTTTTTCCCAAATTGAATTTATTGAAAACTTCAAAATCAACGTAAGAGTGTGGAGTCTATTTTTATATAACATTCCAAGACTGATTCTTATTATTACATTATGCTTATTGTGCTCATGAGATTGCTATGACTATAGAATAAATAGACACAATCACTAATCCCAGGTTCTGATGGGTTAGATACCAACGAGGGGAATAGTCAGAAGAAAGTTTAGCTTGCAATAGAAAGTAGCAAGGTCGAGTGCAGAGACTGAGAGAACACAAAGAGGTAGTCAGAACAGCACATCGCACCGGCCTTGACTCTGTATGGGAGCCGCGCTCCCCCGCAAAGCTAGGAAGCAACATTATGGTTTCCCACTATATCTGAAGAAACGTTAGAGAAAACAAATGAGTATGATGGTGCCAGAGTAGGGAGGGACTTCCACAGGCCGGCCGAATGCTGATTGGAGGATTGTGTAGCCAAGAGACTCTGAGTCTGCGCACCAACCAAAGAGAACCAAGTCTAAACCGCGGTATCTTTTCAGTTAGTCTTGACCAATCATAAATGTACGGGCAACGCCCTGTGTAATAAAATGTATTGTCGCACGAGGTTCGAGGCTCTTGACGGATTTGGTGGTTACAGATTACAGCTTTGCTGTCTGTGATTCCCAAAGACGTGATGAGTCCTTGGCCAAGTAATATACTGTATATATATTTTGCTCTCTTTACAATAAATAGTTAAACTTAGAAGTTGTCTGTCTTTTCTGGAATTCTGAACCCAACAAGAGCTTGTGCCTCTTCGGGGGGTGCTAACACTTAACCATAAACGTTATTGTTTACTTTCTCCGTCTTTAAATGTAGATATTACTTTTCTCCGTTAATCTCCATCACGTTGTTTCCAAAGCAACAACAACTTCCTGTCAACAGCGCTACCTCTCCATCAAAATAAAAGCATGTCCATAAATAGGAAGCCAAGCCAAATTACACTTAAGACACATACAACTGCAACGAAAGTAACAAACACAATGCGATATCCTTTTCAATTTCAAAGAACACAAATTGGGTTACATTAACAAATAACTATAAAACAACAATACTGTAGAATAACAAAATTAATGTCGTGACTACACCGAAATACACATGTTGAAGCCGTTAGCTGCTGATTACTGTACACCCCAGCGCGTGCACTACGCTCTGCATCAGCCAAACGACTCGCTGCACCCTCGCTGCGAGGGGGACCCAAGTTCCCATCAGCAAAAACACGTGGGTTTGCTATCCTGGCTCCTAAATGGTGGAATGAGCTCCCCATTGACATCAGGACAGCAGAAAGCTTACACATCTTCCGGCGCAAACTGAAAACTCATCTCTTTCGACTCCACTTCGAGCGATAGAATTACTAACAAAGCACTTATATACTAATAAAGGGCTGGCTTATCTAAAGCCAGTTGAGTAGCACTTGAAATGTTTGGCTCTATGAAACCTGATGTACTTTTATGATTCTGTTTTCTTCAAGGTTGTGTCTTCCTGGTCGAATGTACTTATTGTAAGTCGCTTTGGATAAAAGCGTCAGCTAAATGTAATGTAATGTAATGTAATATCTACAAACAAAGAGTCCATATTTTTCTAAAACCATTTAGTGCTTCACATCATTTCATACAAAATTAATCATTAAAATACACAACGGCTGTAGCCTGTTTTAGGAGCTGTAGGTGCGTGTGTGTGGTGTAGGTGTGTGTGTGGTACAGTGTGTGCGTAGATGCAGCGGACAGACAGGTCTCAGTTGGTTTGGTGTCCTCTGCTTACTTTTAATACTTATAAATAAATAAAACTTTTGGCCCGTAATTTATTTTCCTCATTGTAGCGACCAGAGTGCTCTGTTTGATTCTGAAATTGTATATATTTATATAAATACTATATATATGTGTGTCCGCATCATAGCCTGTTATTGTCTCATTATACCGCACTGTGAATGCATTAAAAGTAAATATAGAAGTGGTCATGAACACATCTGTCCATCAGACAGAGGGCTGCTGTGCCTCCTGTCATCATTGATGGACGTCTCTTTAAAATGACCTCTCAGAGGAGAGGAGTTCTCATTTCTCTAACCGCCTGCTGCTTCCCCTCCTCTCTCCTCGGTTCCCCTCCGCTCGCATCTCCTGTGGGCGGGACTAAGTCTCGAGGATAGGAGTTGAGGAGGGGAGTTAGAGAAATGAGAAAGGGCCTTAGTAGGCCGAACACATGTGATACCTACACCGGTTAGCTCCCGATGGCTCTTGTTAGCTCCCGGTGCTAACTCACCTGAAGGAAGGTTGTTTTTCCTGCCATGCCGGTGTCTTCCCCCGGTGTCCCGGTGTCTTCCCTCGGTGTCCCGGTGTCTCCTGAGGCCGCTAAACCCTCCCGGTTCTCCGGTAAATCCTCCGGAGCTGTGGAGGCCATGATGTCTGATGTTGTGGTGAACTGCAGTAAAGATACTAGTACTGTCGCAAAATGTGAGGTGGCGGAGTACACTTAGTGACCGCCAGAGGGACCCAAATACCTTATCAATAATAATAATAATAATAATAATAATAATAACAATAGATTACATTTTTATAGCGCCTTTCAAGGGACCCATGGCCACTTTACATGCTGTCAACAAACAAACAAACAAGCAATGAAGTATTAACACGTTTAACGTTATTGATCCCACATTGAGAATTATTTAGTTACATCAGCAGCTCTCCCACATCCTCATTAAAACCTGTTAAGCCCGAAGGTCCCCGCCGGCGGGGACCCTGGGTCTTTTTTTCACGATACTGTGTCTCAGGGGATCTTAATATTTAATAATCTATTAATGTGTTATACCAGATTAACGGAAATAATCTCAGCTAACTGCCGATACAAACCATGTTTACCAAAACAAAACACAAGTCTCACAAGAAGCATCTAAATTACCCCTGAGCGAAAAATGCTAACGGACATTGGCACAGAACTCAAGATAAAAGTACCCTTATTACTTATCATAGCTGCACATACAATATATCCGATTAAAGCTGAGACTCCATAGATTATGTAGGTATATAGTATCATCACTGAGTGATCCGGACTCGCGACAGGGGAAGCAAATACAGTCATCACAACACGTACCTTTACGAAGCTTCTAGGGAGATCGGCTCACAAGTAGCTGTCAATCTGATCAAAGTACGTGTTCAATGGCATTAAAATGAGAAAAAACGCGGCTGAATCTGTTAATCCATAGGTTCTTAATGTCCATGTATAAAAAACTGATTGAATTTATAATCCATAATTCCATTTTTATGTAAAAATTGGAGAGTAAATGCTAGCTGCTAATGGTAGCCACCACAGCTAGCTGCTGCTTCCGGTCTCGGCGATGCAGCAGTCTCACACATGACCAAATAAGGACTATGTGGGAGTTCCCCTCGATTCCATTGGCTCTGCCGGTTAGAAAGAGATGTCACATGTCAAAATCGAGCAAGGGGGGCCAGAGATATGGAAAATCCACCCAAATGGCCCCAGAAGAGTTTTTTTTTGGTGCTAAATCTGTCTAAAAAGGTCAAATATCACTTGTGTTGCATCAATCTTGATACAGGGTACTTATTATATGTTGTACTTTGGATTCCTAAAGCTTTTAGTCTACTAACCCATCATCCAAGGTTATTTTTCACTATAAGTACAAAATATTTTTTGGACGGACACTATAATTTACAGTTTTTTACCATGTTCAATCTGAATTTTCTTTAAAATAAAAAACATCTATATTGAATCTGACTTTTCTACATCCAACTCACAGGTTTATCATTACTTTGAGAAAAAAGATTATTAATTTAACCCTTTTAGAAGGGAAGATATGGTCATTTGTTCTGGGAATGTCATTTTCGAGCCTGAAACCTGAAAAACAGGCTCGGGGTTTAACAGGTTAATACTCTGAATAAACGGGCCGTGTGTTAAGGAGACATTTCAGTAAAAAGATATCCACATTTCTTTATATATATTTTTTCAAATTAGTTATTGTGATTGAATTATATATTGTTATTTTGTGTATTGTATTATTATTATTGTCTTATTAGACATTTTATTTCAACATTTTATTTTATTATTTGTATTATCTTATTTTATTATTCTCAAAACAGAGATTTAAACGACCGTAAACAGGAAACGTTTGGACATTAGGCTTGTGTGAGATGAGCGAGACCGACGCAGACCTGCGCAATTGCGACCGCCGTCTTGCTAGTGCATTGCATGATGGTTAGTAATTGTGTCCGACCAGAGGCCTGTACTACGAAGCTGGTTCAACCTAACCTGGATATGTTTGAGTTAGCCGGTTGGCCTAATCCAAAACATACGCGCTCTCGCTAAACTGTACTACGACGCGGGTTATCAAGTGGATCGCCGAAGCCAGCCGTGTCCTATCTAGTTAGGTGCGCATTCACATGAAAGGGGTGGTATTTGGAGCATTCGACCAAACATGGAGAAGCGTACTGACAGCGCAGCGTCATACTTCCTGAATGAAAAGTCAACTTTAATATTAGACATATGAAGAAGTGAAACTTTAAACATCCATGACTTAAACGCGAGGGGGACCCAAGTTCCCATCGGCGAAAACACGTGGGTTTGCTATCCTGGCTCCAAGATGGTGGAATGAGCTCCCCATTGACATCAGGACAGGATAGCTTGCACATCTTCCGGCGCAAACTGAAAACTCATCTCTTTCGACTCCACTTCGAGCGTTAGAACGATTAACGAAGCACTTTTATACCAATAAAGGACTGGATTACCTAAAGCCAGTTGAGTAGCACTTGAAATGTTTGGCTCTATGAAACCTGATATACTTATATGATTCTGTTTTCTTCAAGGTTGTGTCTTCCTGGTCGAATGTACTTATTGCAAGTCGCTTTGGACAAAAGCGTCAGCTAAATGCAATGTAATGTAATGTAATGTAATGTTAAACACTTGATCCAGGATCAAAGCCACAGAGCTGCACCTGCAAGGTGAATACAGTTGGTAACAGAACAAGTGTTTGAATGCGTACATTAACAGGTTTATGATATCACTGCCCCGTCTAAGACACCATCTGACTTTAATTACATTTGTCTCGAGTGATTCGTCAACTTAATGTGTTGCTTAAAATAATACTTCTGCATAGTATGTGACACTGTGAGTGTTGCACGGCCAGATACGGCTTACTTTTAGGCTGTCTGAAGGTATGGACAGCTATCAAAGCTACTATACATCACATTAAGAACGATGTACAAATGTTTTATATGTATTCAACTTGTGCCCCGCTGGACTTACTTTTCTGTGGTTGACCGTTACTGTGACATATCAGTATAGCCACGGAAGATAGTTTGTGTGATTCATTCCCATGCATCAAGGTTATTTTCATGTATGTAATTGTTTTTCCTGCACAGTGTAGAGTCTTGTTGTGATGAGAGGGATACAGGTATTTCATAAAAAAACGTGCTCCCTGGAGAATAGCTACAGCATTTATATCACAATTTATTCGGAGCTGATCACAACTTGTCATGAGTGATCCAGTCATGTCGATGAGCGTTCGGGCTGTGAATAAACGACTTGTGTTTTACTTTTAGGCTGTCTGAAGGTATGGACAGCTATCAAAGCTACTATACATCACATTAAGAACGATGTACAAATGAAAGTCGGACACAAATATATAATTTAAATGATTTATTCAAGTTTGCAATATTTTGAACAGGCATCCACACAGTCACCTACTTTGTAATGTTCGATACCTCCCTGTAAGCGTCACGATATCCACCTCTCACCCACAACCTCACATACGAGTACTGAATGTGCATGAAAGTGATCGTAGGAAGGCAGATATAGCAAAAGATGAACGTAAACGACAAACGAGGCGATCGACATGGTAAGTCAACAATGGGTCCTCAATGTACACGCCCCGGATTCCTATGACGAAGATAATAGCATGTCGCCAGTTGTCATGACTCAAGTTATACTGCAACACCGGCCGTCTTTCCTGCAACGGCAGCTTTTCTGTATTTCCTTTCTCCTGTAATATGACTTGATCGCTTTAAACTCCGCACACTGAGCTCTGATTGGTCAGCAGGCAGTGCTTTCACTGAGTTGAGCTCTTAGCCTGCAACCTAACCTGGGGGGGGGGTATACTGAATCTAGTTCAACCTATTCTGGATCAGTAGCGTGGCGTGGGAAAAAATTAGGGGAAGCCAATAATACGTCCTTTCTTTTGGGTCGGGGGTGTGGTGGTCAATGTAATAACGTAATGAGTGATTACAGCACCCGGTATCATTTTACACACATTTGTGTCATACAGATGCAGGACTTACACACGCCTGTTATCTAACCGACAGGTCCGCAAGCACTCTCCAGCCGAAACTCTAATAAGCATTAATTCACAAACTAAATCAGGAGACTATTAACGTTTTACGTCCGATTCGCTCCTTTTTTCCTCGCTGTACACAGCTCCAGTTTGGGCATTGGCCTGTCATCAGATTGTATTTGTTGTTGCTGCTGTAGCAGAAGTTTAATACAATTATTTTTGATTAAATACTCCAAATCTCCACCCTCCATAATTGCACTTACTTCAGTTGCTTGCTACTTTCTAATGGCGGTGAGAGTGGTGCAGTGACGCTATCTATCTTCTATCGATTAGATTTATGATTCGAAAATTATAAAAGTAGGGTAGACATGTGGATATTATCCGACTGAACAAAACGTGCATTTATCTAACAGGTTCGTTTTCCACTGACCTTATTTCGAGCTATTTTCCAAAATCCTATGGAGAAATCCCATTGCTTTCTGTTGAGGGAACCCGAGCGCAGCTTACTTCCCGGTTTTAGGACGCGTCACTGCAACACTAAGTTGATGCAATTTGATTGGATTGTGAGGCAAGGGAAGCCAGCCGCCTCTGGCTTCCCTTGGCATGGCCCTGACTAATCACAGGTTGGCAGGGGCATGACGTGAGCCTTGTCTGATTGGTCAATCCTTCCATTGTTTTTCACCAAGGGAAGCCAATATCGGCTGGCCTCCCCTCGCAACAGAGAGTGCAATCTACTGTTTCACCATAACATCTAGAGGGGCGCTGTTTCACTCTTTGTAAAATACTCAATGAGAATGGGGGAGAGACGGGCCGGCAGCAACACACAACAAAGAATTTCCGAAACTAATCGAAGTGTTTTTATTTATTTATTAAAATTATAACTACAATCCAAAAAAACAGGGGAAGCCTGGCTTCCCTTGGCCTCCAGGAGAAAACGCCACTGTTCTAGATATGTTTTGAGTTATCCGGTTGACTTAATCCAAAACAAAGCCGCTCTCGCTAAACTGTCCTACAACGCTGGCTATCAAGTGGATCGCTCAAGCCAGCCGTGTCCTATAGTTAGGTGCGCGTTCACATAAAATGGGTGGTATCTGGAGCATTCGACCAATCACAAACATGGAG